CTGGCTCACTGCTGCCAACTAGTGGTCAGAGGCTGAACTACAACATAAAAATGAGGCTGGCAGGAAAGTTGACATTTTAAACCTTAATAAAAAATCAATACAGGGCTTTAGAATATCGATACAGTATCGGGAAATGAAATATCACGATATTTCAATGTATCGATATTTTCTTACACCCCTAATGGATGGATGGATGGATGGACGTCAAAGCAGCTAATGTGGTTTTGCCTAAAGATTTCACCAGAGCCCACAAAGCCTATATATTTCTTACTCCAGTGTTAGTTTCAGGAGGAAACACCTGGACTTTGTTCTCACAGACATTGAAAAAGATCAATAAAATATAATTGGGACTGTGAAATACGAAGCCAGCAACCTGTGAGCTTAACTTCACAARAGGAACAGCATGGTTGCTGCTGCTTTCTTCATCTTCAATCAATTTTTTTTTAATTAACCATTAAAAAAACAAGCACATTTGACTTAAAACTGATGCCATTCTTAGTTTGCACATTACATACAGCATGTAACCACAGTTAACAGGTAGTATAGATCTATGAAACTAAAAAAAAAAAATAAGGAAAAAAAGTAGTCCAATAAAGGCTGGCAGCTCTCTAAGTTAGTATTTATGGCCTCTSTAGCCACAGACGATTTAAAAAGTCAGTAAAAAGGCTGATGTGGACGAGTTGCTGACTGCTGCTTTAACATAAAAATGATTTTATTTTTTCCCTTTGACTCAGCAGAAGTAGATCTACTTTGAGCAGTGCACTCCACATTCCTGTCTCCTGCTGCTGAGTGCCTCACAGCCTGCCAATAAATTAGCTGTGAAAATTAAACTTTCTCTGCACACAGACACACAACCCACTTTTTAAAATTATTATTARTGAGCACGCCTTGAAGCAAAGCCAGAGAGGGAATAAAAGGAGCCAAATAGACGTTGTGCTTTCTGTCTGTGGAGGTGAATCCTGTCTTTTTTTTCTTCTTATTCAAGTGTCTGTTTCCCACAGCAGTCAAGGTTAACAAGCCTGCCGTCTGCTGCTGCAAAACGGGAATATGTGGGAGGGAGGCGGAGGGGTGAGGTGCTGCAACTACACACCGTGCTGTGGTGATGCACACAGGCTGTGCTAAAAGCCCAACAGCCCCCCTCTAATGTCCACAACCGCCCCCCCGCTCAGTTACATTATTATAACCCCGAATTTACAACGAGACACAAGGAATTACAGCTTCAACTCGAGTCTGCGCGCGCTAATCCGACTGAAAAGGCTAATGTTAGGTAGCACGAGCATCCGTACCTTTCTCTCCATCACTGCGCGCCTTTATGTTTTTCCTCTTTCAGGGCTACTCAACAACAGCAACTGTAGGAGGATGGGTCTCGTCTGTGTGGAGCGGTCCGGGTCTGGAGCTTCTTCTTCTTCTCCCGTAAACCCCCTCTCAACTTCCTCACACAGCGGCGTCTCCCCCCTCCACTGTTACCACTTCCCCATTACTGGACGGCTAGGCGACTCTTATTAGCGCTGCTGGCCTGTCGCCGAGCCGGGGATGAAGCCAGAGCCCGGGATTGGTGAAGCCTCGCTCGGAAGGGAGCAGGAGCGCAGGCGCGGTGCGTCTGCCGGAGGGTCGGCAAGAACTGAGGGAGGAATAGGGAGCGTCYACAAATTACCCTCACTCGGAGAAAGCGGTGGAGGGGCCGCCCGCTGCTTCGACTGGGCTTTTAGTTTTTAAAGAAGGGTAAAATACTAACTGCAGGTTATTTAAGCACCATAAACATGTTTTAAATACATAAACAGTGAAGGAAAAAATAAATACCTCTGCAACAAAAGCAGTGTCACCGTAGCACCAAAATACTGCTTTTTAATAGGAACCCTTGAAAGGAATGTAGTAAATTGAGGCTCATCAATTATAGTTAAGAGATGTAATTATATATATATATATATATATATATAATTTTCCCCCCCATATGTGCTACCCATGTACTCAGTTCTACTGCTCATTATACAAATGCGTGTTCCTTACAAAAGTGGCACCATTTAAGAGAAATTAACAGATTTTCTAATAAGATTTATTGCCAAAAAGCATTGTTACAACAAAAAAAATGCATCTGCCAAATACAAATTTCCTTACTTTTGTGCTAAGTACAGTTTGAAGGTGGAGGTTTATATATATTTCCTTTTTTGTGTAACACTTTGTAGGTAATGGGGTTAAGAAATAGTTACACTCTGCTTAAAGAGACGGTCAAATTATCTATAAAAACGAGTTTGTGTTTTAGCATTCATTTATTTGACCTATAAATATTTGCAAATGCATCTTTTAAAGTGACACTCGTACAGATTTAATAATTGAAATTCATGAGGTCACAGCTTAGTCCAAGTATGGTCAGTTTTTTGCTGCGAATTATTTTTTGATAACTTTATGAATGTAATCAAACAAAATTTAGGAAAAACAGCTTAAGTCTCACTTCACTAGTGTTTGACCAGAAACCTTATTAACCTGTTATACAGTTTTATTGTTTATAGGTACTTCGAATACCTTAGCCGTTAAAAGTCACACAAAAAACAAAACACATCAGGAAGTTTTTTGTTTGGTTTTCTGATTTATTTGCATTTGATGACAGATTACATTTCAGGTGAGCACCCCAACCACCTGAGCTGACTGTAAAACCTACACGTCTTTCAGTGTCGCCTCATCTCAGAGGGTCTATCTCCTGTCAAAACAAAGTCTCTTAACTCTCAAATACCTCYCAACAGCTAGGAAAGTGAAGTGTCCTTAGGAAAGTCTCTCCCACTCTGACCTGATAATTTCCACTTTTACTCAGGAAGTTTTCAGAAAAAAGAAAGTGCAGAACACAAACTGGGTCAAAGCTGCGCTCTCAGACAGAGCTTTCTTTCCGCAGTGCAGCCCACTCCCTCCATCAGCTCAGGTTTATAACAGGAGGCTTGGCTCTGCACCAGCAGAAAGAACAAAAGATCATTTATGGTTGAAAATAAAGCTCTGGACACTTTGAGAACTTTAAAAGCAAAGACACGTCTACAGTTTTCACCGTCAACATTTTCAGCTGGTAAAGAATTTACTTTTAACTGAAGAGATTTTCCTGTGATTCTTTCTCAAACTGGGAAAAGATCTAAACATTCAAGCCGGCTGTTAATCACGTCTTTGCAAATTTCTAAACACAAGCTGATTACAAATCCAAATCAATAATTAAATGTTAAAACACAACAGAACATGTCTCAGATTTGTCATCATTTTAAGRAGCTCTGAGGGGTTTTAGTTTTATTTCAGTCCTGAACATCAAAATAATCGATCACAGGATCTTCTTTAACCATCTTAGACCAGGTGCTTCCACTCGCAGCCCTGAGAATAAAAAAAAAAAGTGAAAAAAATTAAAAAGGGGACACGATGAGTCCTTTATTTATAGTGTCTCTAACCAGGGAGGAACTCACTTGCTGCTGGTCTGTTTGATATGAGCGATGGGGGGCGGGGCCCTCACAGTCGTCTCCCGCTCTATCACTGATGTCAGGGTTGAGTTAGGACAGGAAGACTTCCCTCTGACAAGTCAGACAACACAGACATCCTCAAAACCACAGTCAGCACACAGAAAAAAAAGTCTCTTATCTCTGGAAGCTGTCYTACTTGTGGGCTGTGATGACCACGTTGCGTTTGGGCTCGCTGTCGTAGCTCACGCTCTCCACGGCGTAGACCTCCGCCAGCTCGTGGACGATCTTCCTGTGCTCTCTGTTCATCGGTGGGAAGCAGAAGCTCCTCTTTGGCTGTTTTCCCTGCAGTCATCAGTGATGTTTGACAGTTAGGGGGAWAAAAACTTGATTCTTCTGAAGTCTCAAACAACAAACATTTATTTGCCTAATATTTATTAGGATGTTGTTCTCCTGACTACAAGCAGACAGGTTTTAAAGCATGTCAGAGTGTTGCTCTGCAGCATCTGTATATTTGTAAAAACACATGAAGCAGGGTCAGCAGGCACGCTTCATGTTTTTGTTCACAGCGGAATGAAAACAAAGCCAAACAAAAAACTCTTTGAAAAGAAGAATAAAAGTTGATTTTGATTTTTTTTTAAAATGCAGTTTGTGGAAAATAAACAACCAATACAAAAATAAGTGACGTTAAGATGCAGTACAAAGCATATTTAAGAGTAAAGTGAATTAGATAAAACTACATTAACTACAAAACAGGAATTATTTGTTGACAAAAGATTTGGGCACCAAATCAAATGAAAGCTTTCTGGACAACTTTATTCAACGTATATAAAATAAAGGAAGATTATTCTTCCAACTCAGTGAAACCTCTTTAGGTATCATTTCTAAAAAAAGTTTTGTCAAAAATCTGCAACAACCACAGCTGGTTAAAACATGGAGGCCCACTGGAGGACAGAACGAGTTCAAATATAGATGAACACTCYGTAACTGGGTCAGAAGAAAAGAATGAAGACAAAAGCTGCGAGTACATACACAAATGACTAAGCTGCAGCTACAGTGGTTTGCAAAAGTATTCATACCCCTTGAACTT